GGTCAGCGAACAAAACTGAGCAGAACGCTTCCAATATTCATAGCTTTCCAGCACAGAATTCGGCAATTCGTGCCAGACCCGTTCATTCTCTGCATGCCGCATCAAAAGATAAAGTTGAAGACATTCCGTTGATAGTGAAATTTGAGCAATTTCTTCTTCAAAAATCGCATCCTAGCAATAGTCAGGATACCTAATTTGGCAATGAATTTATACAAAATATGCACTTGTAAATCCGAGAAATCCAAGTAACGCTGAAGCTAAAGAGTAGAGGATTTTTTAGTGGGAGGCGCAATTCTAGCAAGCAGCAGGCCAATCACAGCTGTTTTGAACTGGTTCCGATCACACATTCGCACGTGCAGAACATTTTCTCACTGTAAAAAGCACGTAATTGTCAATGATGAGATGGTAGTCACTTGAAAGAATTTTTCCAGATAACTTTGCTTGATACTTTTTAGAAATTGCTTGGAACCTACAAAGAAAAAAGATAGAAAAGCCTTTTTTATGACTCAGATTCAAACTACGTTAGAAATTCTTCAGTTAACTCTTTCTGGTTGGAATCTACAAGTCCCATTATAAAGAAGACGTCTTTCTTACGACATAGAAGTTACAAAAAATTTTTCAAAATCAAGCGAAAAGGTGGTAGCACACAAATCAGCGGGAAGAAGCAGCTTCTTTCCATTTTCCACTGGAAAAAAAACATTTGCATTGTCGAATATGCAAAAAAACGAGGGGATAAGAAGACGCAGTGAAAAGGTACGGATAAAAAATTTCTAGCGAGTGTGTGAAAGATTACAGTCAGCTTTGAGAAAAGAGGACTGGGTAAGAACAATGCGATTGTAAAATTTCGCAATTTCCTGTAGATCCTCGTAAATAACTAGGTCGTAGTATAACACTAGCTGAGTAAACAATGACTTCCATAAAATCCAAAATGGTGCAGAAGCTGCACAAGTACAGGAATAAATGACTTGGGAACACTGCACAGTCGCTTACTAATTTGGGCGCAATCGATGCGTCCCTCTTGCCAACAGCTGATTCTGCAGACAATCTGGAACGAGTTCTCTGTGCAGAAAGACAAGCGAACGCATAGAATCGCCCTGTTTTTTTATGTGCACACAACGAGTCGGGGCTTTAGGTGGTCTGAGAAGGTAGCGATCATAGGTCAGACATCCAGCGCAGTTTCGGACAAAGGTCAAGCGCAGTTAGACTCGTAGGTTCAATCTTTGAGTGTATTTATACATTTCTCAGTATGCTGGCGATTTTTTGCAAGCCTACTAGGTAAGAGGAGGACAAAATCCAGTAATTTGAGTTTTCTCAGACACAAAGAGCCTAACAAAAAACATAGAAACACAAGAAAAATCTTAAGCAAAACAAACATAATCCCTTTCAGGGAAATAAGCAGTTTGCACGAATCAAAGAATTCCTACTTAGCTATGAACAAGCAGCCATAACTCATTCTAACAAACAGTAAATATTTTCAAACTTTTCTCAGACACAAAAAGCCTAATCAACGAAAAACATCATTAAAGAGAAGAAAAATCATAACTGGAAAAACGACAGAATCCATTGTTAAATTGTGCAATTGCACACATCAACAAGAATTTCAAGGCAGCTATAAACAAGCAACCCATATTCTTTTTAGCATAATGTAAAGCTTTCTAATAAAAAGTTCTAAAACAAAAAACATTATTGAACTACTAGACCCCACATTGGGAATGGTGCAATTGCATGAATGCGCAAGAACCCTTAGTCAACTACAAACAAGCAGCTTGTATCCATTTTGAAATAAAACTTTTAAAATTGAATTTTGAAATAAATTTTGGAATCCATTTTGAACTTTGCATTTTACCGCCAGGGTTCCTTCATAACTTATGCCAGGTGAATCGCAATAGCTGTCTTTACAAGCCTCCTTAAAACTGCGATTGCGTCACTAAATATTACAATAAATAAAAAACAAAAAGATTTAGAAGAACATGAAACTTGATAAAAAATTCAATCAGTGCTTATTAACCTCTGTAATCAAGGTTGCACATTATAAGTAGAAAGAAATTTTGAATTTAATAGCAATTCTTGAATGTAAGATAAGCAGCATCTATTTATTGGAAATGAATTCTTTTTAGCCCAAAGTGAACTATTTTCAATCTTCTTTTCATGAAGGAGTGCATAATACAAAGCTGATTTATGATAAGAACAGTAAGAAAAGATGAGCAACTGATCTGGGGAACTGCCAAGACATAAGCGCTACATAAAAGGAGAGACTCGAAGTCAAAGAAAAATCGCCGAACCACATTCATCAATGCCATAACGACAGCAGACAATCTCTTGTCGCTGTGAATAACGCATAAGAAATGATGACGAAGTCTTTCCCCTCCATACGTCGCTACTTCTTATAGAACTAGTTCGTCTGTGTTGTGTTTACAAGCGCTGCAAAGTCAAGCAGAAAACTGACGCAAAAAAAAAGTTTTGCAGCAGCAGGGAAGAGAACGATGGTATAAATAGTACAGCCATATAAACAAGTCCTCTATACGTGCTGATGAGCTCTCATAATCGCGCAAAGTGATGTTTGGTGCTATTTGTCGCAGAATACTTTATTTGTGCAGACAATTACTTTGCGAAAATTGGCCTTGATCTCTCTTTGGTCTCAGAGTCTTTTAAGTTTACCGAGTCAAATGTTCAATGCTTGTACTGCTCTCAAGAGTGTTGACCTAGTATAGAATTCGAGTCTCTGGTCTTAAGAGTATTGACGTAGGAATAGAATTGTAGTCTATATCTGACAGCATCCAAGGCTTGAACTATCACTTGAAAATCTTTCTGGTGTTTCCCCAAAGAATGAATCAGAAAAATTAGTCATCTCAATGCAACAGCCCCTTCCCACTTCTTAAATCTTGGTACTTTTCCGGAAATTCGCTCTACAAATTAACAAGTCAGCAGACAAATTCGCTTGCGCAGATAACTGAAAAAAAAATAGTCAAGCCGTACTACTCCTTTTAGTAACAAAAAAACATGGAAACCATTGGAAAGGGCAAAAAAGTTCATTTGAAAGAAAGGGATAGTCAAGTTGGTCTTTGTTCTTCAACAAAATGATATACCTAATATCGGAGCGCCGAATGACTCCTAGGCGGAAAAACTTGCTGGACCAGATGAAAACGAAATGAAAGCCTCGGCACGAAGGTGAGGATAGAGTTGCATCAAAAATTGCTGCAGAGATAGAATGCCAACAAACTGATTATGATTAGATTCATATGTTTCCAGAATATAAGAATACTCACAAAGCTCATTAATCCAGCTTTGGAAAGTGTGGCTATCCAAGAATTCCTCAAAGCTAGAACGAAATTCAATTCCGTAAAAGTGTTAACCTTTGATCTTGCACTAGGCACTGTATAGAACATTAAGTTTTTGTGGCCGTACCGTCTCAACAAAGGCGTAAAATGTTAGAATTGGAAAAAAAAGCTGTATCAGGGCTCGGCACGAGCTGGCACCAAGGATATTTTAGAACGAAGTCCCCTTTTATCTTAAAAGTTTCCTACGAGGTCCCCTCTGAACTGTTCTGAAGCAATTATATTCCGGGTCTCCGCCTCGGACCCTGAGAAAACGATGTTCCCTTCGCTTTTCGCCCCAAAAACGATATCCAGCTTGACCCGGTGCCAGCTGTGCCCCTGAGCTGTATCAATGGGACAGATACCTCACTATGTTTATTTAGCTTTGATCTCGACGTACCTCGTAAAACGAGGAGTGCAAGAAAGAAAGTGATCTGAGCAAATTATAGATTAACGATTTGAGTACTTTTGAGTCCACTGTTTGGCAGACAACACGTGTCAATAAAATACAGGCAAAAGGGGAGAAGAACAAGAGAGAAAGAAAGCTATTATCGGACCAAATTTCATATAAATTGGTTGAACGCTTAGACATAGTAAACAGCAATGAGTTCATCCCTGCTTGCAAATTTGGCTACAGTAGCTGATGAAGAACAATGAAAAATACATTTTGACTCATCAATTTCTACTTTTCATGAAATGCAGAAGAAGTACATGAGAAGACCCCTCTAAAGAATTTTAGTAGACAGTAAACAGAATTGAAACCACGGCACCAAAGGATACAACTTGAAGTTAGTGAAAAGAAGATGTCTATAGAACAGTAGACGATAAAAGTGAACCTGAATATTCCGCGTAAATCCCTGAGAATGTGTTAAGATTTCGAATGAACACATGCAACAGCTGATAGAGTTTGTTCTTTGCACTAAATCATGTGTAAAGATGTCACACCGTCTGGTGACGCAATATATTCACGACAATTACGTAAGTCTTCTCTCTCTTTCTCAGACACGATAGCCTATTATATACCATTTCTCAAGCCCTTTGTTATCTTATTGGTTGGTTCTGTACATTGTAAGACCATAAATCTTTCGAAAATGCGGCAAACTGTAAAAGGAAGTCCGAATATCGAAGAACCTTTTGAAGATGAGTTTGCAAAAGCATGTCAATGAGTTTGAGAAAAAGGTGACTTGGTGATGACCATAAATAACTCTTGTTTTCCCAGAAAATGACATCTACAGTAGTGGTTTGAAAAAGAGTATCAAAAGTGTAGCAGTCCAGGAACGCTAAATAAATTCCATGACTTTTGATCAGAAATGCACAATATAGCAGAGAGACCAAACACTGGCGCCAAATCTTTCTTTCTCGTATTTTTGTTTTATCGTACTAATCTTCGGTGACAGGTTACAGATGCGAAGACATAAAGGAAGAAAATCAAATGGTGACCGAAATTCGGCAAGCTTCAAAGTAAAGCTATTCTAATTCTTACGTTACAGATGTTCTCCTTTCGTCACAGCTTTTCCTATTGCGTGTCGGAAATAAGAAAGTGATGGAAGGCAACAAAATCGAAAATCAAACTTTTCATCGTATTGAACAGACTGTATGTTTGTAAAATAGGAAAGGAAAGAAGACAAAAAGAAAGCAGTTTGAGACATAACCAAGCAAAGATTTTCGCTTCTGAATTTGGATTACCTGCCTTCAGCCATCTTCCTGGCATGTCACATCCTCCAACCTTAATCGGCTGACACTGACAAACATGGCCCAACAAAAATTCGGAGATGCTTCCGCATTGCTAATTTCTGCAGCAAATGCATATCAAGCACATCACTTTAAATGACCATACACCGCATTTTCTGCTTTCGGAACTACAGTACTCAATGAGTCCTAATGAACTTGCAAAATGCAGTTTGTACTATGGTCCTCAAAACGCGGTGCTCATGCAGTGTATGATCCACTATTCCCCACCGACAAAGTTTGGAAAAATTCACAGTAGCAAATCAGGAAAAAAAACTTATCAATAAGTGCCAGGAAGTAAGTTGCAACTGAAAGCTTACTCTAACTTCCACTTGCAAGCATTAATGGTATGGGTCACGACAAGGAATAAGAAAGGTCAAAAACCTTCATTGTAACGAAATAATCCTTAGAATGATCCCGTGTGGTGTCAAGCATAGATCAATCTTTTTGTGATAATCACAAAAATTTATCACGAAAAAAAAACCGTAACAGTTGTAGCTTGACCCAACCGACACAAAACAACGTATGAAAGTTTGACGTGACCAAATACAACGCGACAAGAATGGTCGAATAAATTAGAAAGTTCTTAAAATCGAACAAGGGTATCGCAAAGGAGACACTAAGACACTAGAAATTCGATAAAGCTAAGAAAAATCTCGAGTTACAGTGCTGGGCAAAAAAAATAATGCCTAGCTATTTATAAAAGCGAGTGCGGGACAATAAGGAAACACAGGGCTGCATTCGAAGAATAACAGCAGAAACCTTGTCACTGAATAACATCATCAACAAACAACAACGTGTCGGTGGCTATAAATACGATACGAAGGAATTAGGCCGAGCTATACACAGCCCTGTATCCCCTTGATAACCATCAGAACTTCAGGTTGATTTTGTACGATTGTGTAACGCTGACAAGGGGCTTCCTTATCACGAGTGTTCGTCGATCACGATCGTATGAGAACTCTAATTTGGCAGTTGGGTCAGAACTTCGTATTATCTGCAAAGGAACATTTCAAATCTATCTGATCAGGCTCAGCGATATCAAAGGGTATCAAAAGCTTACAGAAACGCTAGAAGGAGTACGCTCTAAGCCTCGTACAACAATACGTTCAATCCAGGCTTCAGTTTCGTATTTTCCACTATCAGGAGTAGGTCCACCATTGATAACAGCTTCATTTGCTGACTCAGTCCTGAATGAATAATCCTTTGATGCCCTATGAGACACTAAACCAGGAAAGAATGCGAGCATACAGTTGCTTCCAATTTGAGTGTCACGGTCGACGTGATTCAGGTCCTCGCGAGCCGCCTCGCATGGGTCTTTCACGTGGCACAATGCCGCATCCGCTAAGGTCTTCGCGTTATAGGGTGCGGTATTGTACCACGTGAGAGACCCAAGCGAGGCGGCTCTCGAGGGGGTGAAACACGTCGACCGTGACACTCAGATTGGAAACCTCTGTAATTTGGCGTTGACCGAAACAGAATCAACCTTAGGTCAATGTTTTTCGTTCCGCAACTACGAGAGTCATAAAATCAAAGCAATCAACAGATATGACAGTATGATCAGACAAACTACAGCTGACAGAGTAGATGTCTTTTGCATAAACGGCAAATCAGATATGTTGTAAAGTCCAAAAAAACAAAGTCGCCCCGCCTCCACTGAGTACAAAAATTACACATGAGCTCCAACTCACTTGTATTCGATTTCAGCGTACAGAAAGACGTTATCCTTGTACGCATGCGTGCCACCGTCATCAAGGTAATAGCTACCCTTGGCGTATCCGTTACGGTCCAATGCAACAAATAGGGTCAAAGGATCCTGAATGCGATTGAAAGAAACGACTCCAATTCGACAGGAAAGGATATCCTCACTTGAATCATCAAACTTGATGCACGTCTAACTCGTTGCCATGTCGGGACAATTGTTCCACCTTGTTGAAATACAGCTATATGTGTAATGGGAACATCGACGTATAAGGAACCAGATTGCCGTTCAACCCCATTTTCCCACTCGTACCATCGGGTATCCTAAAAGAAAAGGTAGCACTATGTATTATAGGTACCCTAATTTCACGCGTACAAGGCGCACCTTTTTCGATTTTTCAATCAAACCCCTCAGCCGCTCAAAGTATTTCGGAAAGCGATCCCTATGCCGTACGATTCTCTTAAGCAATACACAGCACGGCATAGGGTCCTTTGGTTGCAAAGTTCTTTGGCGTATTTGGGCTAGTCAATATTGGAAAAAGAAATCCCCTGCGCATTGTACGCGTGAAATTAGGGTAAATGATAACAAATGATTAGTGTCGAATGAAATAAGAAAGTAAAAATCGTTGAAATCAGATTCACGAGAGCGATATATACGAAAAAACCGACATGATTCAAAATGTACAGATATCAATAGAAGAACTGACCGAATCTTCGCCAACAGGTAGATCAACGTTCACACTATATGTGTCCTTCTCAACAACAGGATGAACCAGCAAGGCATTACCAACCATCCATGCCTAAATCCAGTCATATGAGTGAAGATCTGACCAATAGAAAACAGCGTAATAACCTTTTCATAATCGAAGAATTTCTGTTCTTTGGGAAATTCAAACCAAATGGGTCGCATCGGCGGTATCCCAGTTAGCGCATGTTCTCGGAAAAGAGCGTACCTGCATTATAAGAAGTTTAGCACAGGCACAGAGAAAACTGATCCTAACCAATAAGGAAGCAATGCATAACGTCTCCTTATAGCTTGTCGTATTGCCTCCATCGTAGGTTTTGAGAATAACCATGGTTCACGTCTCTTTGTGTCAATATGAGCATGAGCCCTAAAAAACTCAAATTAGAAAAAAAATGGAGCGACAAGAAACCTGACCTGAAGAAAGGCTGGAACGCAGCAGCTTCATACCAACGAGTCAATAGCTGCTCGTCAGGATTTCCAAAGAAACCGCCGACATCCGCACCTGAAGAGTAGTAAATAGTAGAAGGGATAAACACATCAACGGAAGTGGAAAAGATGAAACGAAAACTACTGACGAAATTATTTCAAAAAGCAATTATATTGATGAAATTTTTACATTGATGCCTGCTGCTAACCTAGTTTTAGCCACCAAACAAAATTCGCGACGACTATTGGCATGAACTTCTAAAAAAAAAGAACTTACAACTTATTATTATTAGCTTAACATAGATGGACAGGATATTTCCCAAGAAAAGAATGACTGTAAATCCACAAAAGCTACCTACCCACAAATGGGACACCAGAAACAGAGAGCGAAAGGAGCATGGGAGCTGCCTTGGCGAGGTGTGCCCATTCGGCTGCATTATCCCCTGTCCATATTGCTGTTGTGCGCTGAGATCCAACAAAACCAGACCTGAATAGTCTTTACAACATGGCATACTCAAAATACTACGAACTTACTGACCTAGTAAGAACAAATGGGCGATCTTTTCCTCCAGTTCGCTCCAATTGTCCTTGGAAGGTAGAAGAGTGTTGCAAGAAACCATACATGTTATGAATCTGTACATGTACGACTAGTAAGTGAATCGAGTCAGATCACAACTACAATACCTCACGATGCTCAACGCCGCCATGATGAAGACAATTCTTGTCCATTGTCACTTCTGGACCACTAAAAACCTGCAAATTTCATATAAGTTCAGTGGTTAGGGAAGCCCGCCGAAAAATAAGGATGAAGCAGATTTCCATTTTGTAAAAATTACCGAAGGTTCATTCATGTCATTCCATGTGAACAGCTGTGGAGTAGATCCAACATACTTATCAAAAGCAAACTGCTTGGCCCAGTAGTTGCGCACCTGAAGAAGGACTTTTAGGATAGTTAAAATAAGTTCCAGTGATCTGATCATGCATAAACAGTGCAAGAAAAGCAAAGTGTTCATGTTCCTCATGAGATTTAGGGAAAAGTTCCCTTATGGCAAAGCGGCAGCAAAGAATGCTAATTTGCTCAACCATTACGCGATTTAATGAGCTTGCAAACGACAGGAATAACTGTATTCAATGGTGAGGTCAAGTGTATGACGACTAATTCACAAGCTGGTAAAGTACACTGGCGGATCGAGAAATGCTCGCCACCCTCCCTCCCCCCCCCCCCCGCATGGGTCGCGATATTTTTGAAAGTTGCCTACATGTGCCAAAAAAATGCGCACTTGACTTGCTTTTACTAATTGAAAGGAATAAAAATTTATAAGAGTTTGAATTGACGTTGTGAGAATATTTCAGAGCTTTTGGAGGTATAAGCCCGAGAAAATCTTGAAAAAAATCCCAGAAATTTTTCGTAGCTAACGTCAAGCCCGTTCATTAGAAGATTGTCGTAACCCCTCCCCTTCCCCGAGCATAGAATTTTGAAGCGACACTGATAGCTACCAGATGGGATCGCGTTACACATGGGTATGTCACACTTGGTGAAAGAAGTCAAAGGTGGTAAGTAACCGCTGCTTATCCTGCACCCTACCTTCAAAGGATAAGTTTGGCATGGCAGTCCCCCACACTAGAATCTCTACTTAAAGTATGGTGATACGATGAATGACTATCTTATTGTAAGCGTTATCAATCTTTGCCAAGATCGCCCCAAACTAAACCCGGAAAAGATTCTCGTCAAGTGACTATGATTAAAATCAAAAAAAAAAACAGAATACGTAAAAATGAGCAAAAAATAAAAAAATAAAGCATGGCCATATACCTCGGGATTCAGGAAATCCAGATAACAGCTGGCTCCTGGCCAGCAGTGTCCTTCAAAGTCTGTCGTACCATCAGATTTCTTCACAAAATATCCAGAATCTTTCGCCTCTTTGTAGACGTAGTAGCCGTCATCCTTTTTAATATGAGGATCAATTATTGTCACCATTTTACGACCCTATAAGAAACTTTTGAGGAATGCCAACGGACCTAGACCGGTGCTAACCCTGGCTGCCACTTTATCTATCATTTCTTCCGCATGAGCAAACTTATGGGGTTCCCAGGTAAAATATTTCTTTCCATCCGTATGCTCTATATCCAACCAGATCACATCCATCGGTATGTCGTATACGTCGAAATTCTCGTTCAACTGTGTACACAATAGCTTTTTTCACCTTCACAAATATGTCCATTATCATAAAATGAAAAGAAGATAAAAAAATTGGATGAAAGCCATAAACAAAAGCCAACTGCCAACCTGCTGAACGTCCTGCTCATCATTGTAATTCCAGCGACACTGATGGTAGGCGAGGGAGAACAGTGGAGGTAGTGGAGTGACCTAAATTTTCAGCACATAGCTAGAAAGATGGAGGAAAAAAGCTAGCACCTACTCCGGTGGTTTTCGATAGCTGCCGTTGCAGATCCCTTGGTGATGAGCCTCCAAAGAAAAATATGTCAATGAGACCTGTTTCGGACATAAAATGTGCGTCAAAATGTGGAACATTCTCGCTAGACATGACCTAAAAGACATGATGCTGCGTGATATGAGGAAACTGTTGAAAAGACTTACCTTATCTATGACGCTTCGGAAGAAGCCTTTGACTGAAGCTGAGGAGCTAGTATCAATCCATGTTTCAGCAGAGTTGAGCCTGAAATCCGTAAAAAGCATCGAAGCTCTGTTTATAAGTAGTTTTATAAGCTCAGTTCGGTGATGTTTTCAGGCTATACATTCGAACCAATTTATTATCAACAATCTCTTTAGTAAACGAAGACATCTTCAAGCAAAACGCATTCGCTACCAAATCCTAACTCTCATGTAATCGCTTAGAAGTATGTACACTATTACTCTGAGATCTCCACCTTAGACAACTGTGATAAGACTCAGTCAACAACTGATAAGAGCGCGGTCATGACATCTAAACTGGGAGCTCACGAAAAAGTATAAGACAAAATAGAATCGAACAATCTGCAAGCATTTTCCAAAGAAAAAAAATCATCATAGCTTAGATAACCTACCACAATGCTCCAATAGTAGAATTTTCCTTATGGGCCACTATGTAGGGAATTGCGACGTAGAGAGACATTGGATTGTCAACTTCGTACTCAAAAACATCGAGATTGTACAGCCTTAATTAACAAAATACGTCAGCCTATAATATAATCTTCAACGAGATTACCGATATGGATCTGAGATTCCCACAGTGGTCTTGAGGGCAAAAGAGTCAGCATGCTCCGGCAAACCATATGCACTTCGGAATCCAACAAATGATACGTCCACCTGAGGGTGATACGATGGAAATAGCTCTAGCAGACAGAGCCAAGCGCGTACAAAAATAACTCACCCCAACACTACTTGAACCAAATGGTTTGTTGTCGGTGAAGTGTTTGAAAGATTCTTCCCAGAATCCCTCTGGATAATCTTTGCCTTCTTCCTTATTGCGATATTCCTCGACCTAATCAGATGCTGATAGCAAGCAAAAACATTCAAAATACAAAAAATTACCTTCAGTTTCCCATCTCTATTCACTTGTGCTACGAGTTCATTAGCGTCATTGTAAACGTGAACAACAAAGGGCTTGTAGACGATCACAACCTGAATCCCTGCAGATCTTTCACAAAAGTTTTGCAAAAAACGATCTTACCTTCAGTTTGTTGTCGAAGGTTGTGGCATGTACCGAATCTGATTTTATCTCCACTTTCGAAAACGGTTTCTAAACGAAGTAAAGATGCATGAAATGCCACTTATATCTCCAATTAGAAAGAATTTGGGGATGTACCAAAAATAAACTTCATGAGTACACTAATCTTAAGAACTTAGAGGATAACGGTACCTGGATGGGTTCGCCGTTCAGCGCAATTGTAGGCACGAACCGTTTTCGGATTGCAGCCTCAGTTTCATCTATCTGTATCCGAACGGATGAATCCTAAACGCACTTTCTCAGATAACAGAATAACATAGTTATAACCCCTCAAAACTAAAATATCTACTCAGACGTACTGTGCACTCTGAAAAGCTTAATGACGGAATAAGGTAGCGCAGGATTAAGAGCATCAACAAGTGATGTATAGGACGTATATACAAGGCACAGTGTTAGGAAACCAAATAATGCTAACATGTAATGTTTTTGAAACCATTCATTTTGATAGGCAAAATAAAAGTTGATTGACATAAAAAAGTTCCCATAAGTTTGAAAAATCATGGCGAAAGGTGTGGCTCTTATCAATTCTCATTTGCGAGCACTTCTTATAGCTTCTTTCCCAAACATAGGTTGTAATCTGATTCGAATATATGCGGACTGCTTGGCATAGCCGATTCACATTTGCTCAGTATTTCTATTGCTTAAGATGGTCGAATGACCGGTAAATACATCCTAATGCTCAGTGCAGCGAAGAAAGAATCCAAATGATGTATAAAACTTCGGGAACGCTACTATTGTAACATGCACTTTGAGACTCCAGAAGAAAAAGATCCCAGGCAAAAGGATGAAGAGAACTAGCTGGCACATACGTTTAATCCATATAACCGCAGCGACAGCTTATTCTCGCTATTGTGCAATGTTGCCTCCAACGTTGAACCGCTGTGTTTTACAGATTGAGGATCCACTTCATATCCGGTGTTTTCCTAAATAACTTTCAAACTGCTCTGACTGTATGAAAACAATAATTTCACAAAACATGGTCAAAACTAGTCATAAACGGGGAAGACATCTTCAAGCTTACCGAAATGGCACGATGCCTCTTACAAAAAGCGGACTGGTCGCAGGTTTTGAAATCCTGTCTCTTCACAGCTAATACGCCCGCTAAAGCCATCAAGGAAATCACCCTCAACCACATCATGAGGGCGGATCGCTACCCTGATAATAAGAAGATAAGGATTTGAATTCAAAAATTGTGATAAGATTTTTGAGCTGTCGAGCTCGGATACAGAAATAGCAAGCGGACTTTTCGATGGAGCAAGATCAAAATCGTTTTGCACGTTGTACTAAACAGCAAAAACTCCAATATAAAGCGTGTCCCAGCTGTAAAAACTAGTTTTATGGTGATGTGTACAAAGCGATAGATAACGGCATAACGGCTGCCGATACCGTAGCTGCGGTCAGCCTACCCAAGACCACGGCTACTCGCGGGTAGGTTTGCTAATAACTTCCCATGGTAAAAAGCAGTATGGACGGCATACAATGAAGAGTGCATTGTATAGCGCCATAGCTATTGATAGTGTTACTCGTATTCTCGACCCTTACCGCCAAATCAATAATGGACAAAGTTGAGAGGAAGAGGACGCGCTCACTTAAGCCATTCGTAAAGGCGAGTAAGCAGGAGATTCCCTTCGAATCAAAGGCTTCGAAGTGTTGTCCCTTTGGTTTGTTCCAAGAGACTTTACTAACGAACAAGTTCTACACCTTTTTGGTTCAGTTATGTAAGCAGATTTTGAAGATCGGCTACGAAGATTTCAACTGGTTTGATTGCGGCCTTAGCGCCTAATACAGGAACATAAAACGCACATGCAAAAGATATCACCTAAACGCTCAGTTCAGTCACTTCCAGCCTCTAGATACTATCGTAAGCAAAAACCATAAGAGACCGGCCATACTATTCCAGGAGGTTATTACTGCAGATCCTTTAATTCCTGCAATTCTTATGATTCCTCGACTTCCGATGCGCCGCGCTATGGAGCGCTTTGCGGACTGTAGTATACATTGTTTTTTCGCAATATACATTCTCTGACATTCGGTCCGTGCGGCGCGCGCGTGCTCCCCGTGCGGCGCCCTGTAGTGCGAGGGGGCCGAACGGTGAATGCGCGCGGGCCGCACGGTATCGAAAGGCTCCGTCCGCAAGCTACTAGAGAATAAGTCTTTCATAGAGCTTCTTTTTCTTCTTTCGTCGTTCCGTGAGTATTCTCAACTTCACATTCCAAAAAAATTCTGGATTTGAAAAATTTGAAAATCTGAATTTGAATTCTAGATTTCAAAAATTCAAATCTAGCACCCATTCGGGACGCTGTCGAGGGATAATCTCCGTAGAAGCAAAAAACCTCTTATGCTCCTGCGATTACTCAAATGCCAAGAAATGATAAGTCAGCTTCACAAGTGATGGAGCAGCCTAATACAGCGTCGTACCTCACGCGGGTACCCATTACGCTTATAGCGTGTGAGAATCTCAGACACTCGGTGCGTGCAGCGCGCGCGCCTTTATGCTCAAGCCGGCAAAGAGCGTGCCATATTTTGGGGGCGTGTTCGGCAGGGCGCCAAACGCGCGCCATACTAGACGCACGCGCGCCATACTTGCGCGAATGCAGAATTATCTGCGACACGCGTGCCTTTTTATATGAAAATACGCGGCGCGCGTGCTTTTCCGTTGTTATGCAGCAGCGCGAGCGCGATTTAGCTTTTAGCGCAGCGGTGCGCGTGCCCAAAAGGACGCCGAGTTGCTTTTTTAAAAATAACCTCGTCCCCTGCCCCTGTTTTTTGAGGTTTTACTGTTATTTTTTACGAGTATTTGTCTTTATTTGTATCTAAGACTTTCATTTTGATTTTCTTTCTTGATTTGATGTATTTTTTTGTGAACTTACTTTAGTTGATTGTCGTTATTATTAACCTTTCTTCCTTACTGACGAGTTCCTGGAAAGGCTTATTCTTTTTTGCATTCGTTTTTTTCGAATTCAAGAATATTCGCTGAGGCTGAACGGAAGAAGCGGCAGGGACGCCAAACTCAAAAACTCCCCGATGAGACTGAAACCACCTTGATCGGTATGCGGTTTTTCGGATAAGGAAGTCTTCCACTTTTTTTTTATTCAGACGTTATGTTGGGATACGGGTACGACGAACTGCTACCAGGCGCGGTTGTGGATTTTGAAAACTCGGAGTAAGTAGCGTATCATTTCATCCATGTTGTCTTTCCAACAAGTTTCATTCATTGCAGATTTTACGCTAGTCTTGGCACAGACGAAGCCGAAAGAAAGCAAAATTTTGATCAGGCTTCGCGTGAGAAAATGCGGTGGCGTCCACAGCTCTGGCCCTGCAATTCGCACTGTGCGTAATCAATTCTTACAGGTTATAACGCAGCCTTAGTTGCTAATATATCAATTTCAGACGAGATATTAGGTCCTATACGTACAAGGAAAGCGAGTCGAAATGGATACCGCATAAGGTAAAATTGTTTGCTGATTAGTATTTCATAGATTCATTGCAGCGCCAGTCGAAGAAAGTCGCGGACGAAATGATCGACGATGGGGCAGTAACATGAGACGACGACGATCTACAGGGTGTCCCAAGAGTATGTATCGAACGTTTGATCGTTAATATCTCTCTTCCCAAGAAGTCTTTTGCCTATCATTTTGTAGAGCTAGCTTCAACTTAGATTTGCATTATAGAACGAATCACTCATTCCTCTTCATTACTGTAGGATTACGGTAGAAACTTCAAAGAGGGTTTTAAGCAATGAAAGGCCATATTTTGCCTTAGAAAGGAAATAAAACAGCCTGAAAGTTTTCACACTAGGCTAATTAGAGTTGCTGATTATAACTGTAAAGTTCCCAACTTATTATGATGCTTCATTGAGGAGTTATGCCAGGTAAGAGGTAGCGGCCATTTTTTCAATGTTCCTAAAAAGTGCGATTACACCGTTTAGAAAGCTTTGTAATCTTGTGAATAGTTGAGTATTGAACTCAGCATCCATAAAAACCCTATTACACAAGTTTTCACAATTTTTTGAAGAATTTTGGAACTGCAGCTTTTTCCACATTGACACCATATGTTTCAAGTTTCTACCGTAATCCTACAGTAATGAAGAGAGATGGGTGATTCGTTCTTTAATGCAAATCTAAGTTGAAGCCAGCTTTACAAAATGGTACTTGAAGCAAGGCAAAAGACTTCTTGGGAAGAGAGATATTAACGATCAAACGTTCGATACATACTTTTGGGACACCCTGTATTCATTGCTGATGAGTGAAGTTCCGTGATAGCAATATTTTTAACTTACATATGTTTATTGCATGTACATGATGCCATTCCGTTACATATGTATTTGATTGTACACTATTTGATCCACATTCTCATCATTTAGTGTCTTTAAAAGCTTTAATTACATAATTAATGAAGGTTTGTTGAATTTTCCAGTCATTTTTCTGCAGAAATAAAGTTTTAAAAGGTTTAGTCCGCTGGAAGTTTAGCCGTTCAAATTTGGCGCGCGGGTCAATGATTAAAACGAAGCTGCGAAAATGCTGACCATTCGAGTGCCAAAATAGCAGCCATCCGCGTGCAAGAAATCGCAGCCGCTCGCGCGCTTAAAATCGCAGCCATCCGCGGACGAGCATGCAGCGGCGCGGGAGTCAATAGCGCGCCATCCGCAGACTGGGTGTCGCGCCACCCTGCAATTGCGCGCGCGCTGCACGCACCGAGTGTCTGAGATTGGAGGCGCACGGGCGGCACGGTGAGAACATAGTGCGCGCGGGTCGTACGCTAAGGATTCAAGGCGCGCGGACCGCACGGTATGTGACCCCGCCCGTAAATTAGGCGCGCGGGCCACACTGCTCGCCATTAACCCATTGACGACGACGCCTAATTTTGCGTGGCGGCGCTGTGGGACGGCGCGATTTTGCACAACATTTTCGGCTTGGAGAAGTTTTTGATTATTCACGGAATGTGAAGTTGTTTCATAAACAACTATAATCATCTTCTTGAACGACGAAGTCTACAGATTATAAGAATGCAAAAATTTGGAAAAAATACTGAACTTTGAAAAAAAAAATACTAGACCTGGAAAGGATATGATTTTGCAAGGGTTGTGGGCCACCGGTGATCCACATCGTCCCTGGCTGGCGGCAAAAAATGTGTGGGCCACCGGTGGTACACATCGTCGTCAATGGGTTAACAAGCGCGCGCCGCACGGACCGAATGTCAGAGTTGTTACGAGACCAGCAGGAATCGCAGGAATCACAGGAATAGTATGGCCGGTTTCTAATAAGTAGAGGTGAAAACCAAGAAGATGCTGGAAGTGCGGGCGTGTCGCGCGCGGTCGCACCATCGTCACGATTTTTTGAATGCCCTATGTGTATATTCCGAATAGAAAATTTATTTCTGAACCGATCTGAACCAATCTGGCACATATGCACTTGACGGAGCGGATGTTGTAGGCTGCTTTTCGCTATCGATAGATATCAACTTTATAAATTTTTGCAAAGTTTAAGCTACGGGCTGGGAGTTGGCACAGGGGGAGGTGAGCATGCTGATTAAGAGAATGTTATTGACAGGGCCGGGCGGAGCTGGGTTTGCCAACTAGTTGTATAATACATGGTCTCTTCTGCAATAAACTATACTTATCATGTAAACTTGAAATTTAGGCCCGTATGCACGTACATCCCCGCGGGGAGGGGATGTGCGCTTAACCATTGAAATGATCCCCGTTGGGTATCCCCTCCCTTCCCCGCGCGAACCCCCGTATACACAAAGACAATATCGGACAAGGGATCCCCTGTGGGGAGGGGAAGTGAACCCTCTTATGCACAAGAGGGGATCAAGCGGGGAAATCACCATGCTTTCAAATTTTCTATGAAAAACTCTTTCTTATTTCATATTTTGACTGCAACTCATCTTCATCTCCTCACTTTCATTAATTTAGAGTTGCGGAATGCGCGTATGCAGTGACTGCGCTCGGGGCACTAAAAATGATTTTTTCTACTCCCATTATGTTCCTGCTTTCTTGGATGCTGCCCACTTTCGCTCATGCTGCTCCATTTCAGCGTAAAAATGTTGAACTATAGAAGTTGATGTGTCTCTGCAAGGGAATGGGTAAAAGACGTTATGCTGCCGAACCGCGCGGACGCTCAAAGCAGTATTCTAACACATAACAGAAGCTGCAAATTGTGCTAGCTCTCCATAAACGCTGTAGCTATCAGCTGCATATCGTCCTTTATCCCAGGGGAATGATCCCCAGCAGCCATCCCTGCTATGCACAAGGGGAACGCTGGGGAGGGGATCACTCCCCAGGGGATTTCTACTCAGAA